ATATATATATATATATATATATATATATATATATATATATATGTATATATATATATATATATACATATATGTGTGTGTGTGTGTATATATATGTATATATGTATATATATATTACCCCCTAATACATTTATTCCCATATGGTTTTTTGATATTTTTTGGAGGTTTATGAGTTACTCTAATTCCTAAATGGAATGCAGCGGTTCTTCTGAGGAGCAGCTCTGATTTTATTAAGCACAATGTCATGGAGTCCGCCTCGCCTAGCTGACTGAAGACCCTCAATCATCCATGATGACGGGGATCATCATCGTCCATGTCGAGAGCTCTCGCTTCTTAGTGTTTGCTGGAGCAAGGCGGAAATCAAAAACCTCTTTGGCTTGTCGAGTTCATTCACGGCATGCTTCCCGAGGCATCAATCGGAATATCTCACCGTGCTGAGCATAAAGCTGCTTGATCTGATCGAAAACTAGGCGAGCTTCCCGGAAGTGGTGCTCTAGTCCCTGTGCAATGTCCACAAGAGGTGAGAGGTGCGAGCTCTCTAAGGTTTAATTCATGGACAAAAATCCGTCAAAGTTCTTCGTTGTCTTTGTAAGAAACGAGCACGAAGGAAGAGTTTCTCTCATCCTAGGAAATTCATGATTACCAGGTGAAGGACCAGATTGCACAGGACGAAATCAGCGAAGGCCCTCTCCGGTGGAAGATCCTGAGAAGAAAAGAAAGAACTTCTATCCTTGTAGCCTAGTTGAATCACTGCTTGCTTACCTTGAATTCTTTGTTGGCTTTGTTTACTTGCATCCTTAAGCAAACTGGAAAAAAAAAACAAAAAAAAAAAAAAACAAATATGGAAGTTTGGCGGTCGAAAAACACACAACCAAGAAAAAAAGCATGGAAACTAGAACTCTCGATCGATCTATAGACATACCAGCCAGAACAGCCGTTCCTACGCAGGACAAAACCCCCGAGAGAAATGCATTGAAAGGAAAAGATCCAACCACAGCCATGAACAAGGTCTGGAGCAGCAAACAAAGAATCAGCCGTCAATCGCGAGAAGAATTCCAACAAACCTGGACAATCGCTGTGATCACGGCATAGGCGACATAGAGATCGATCAGCTAAGAAACCAGGAGTTAGATCAGATCGCGGAATGGCAAACTCAATCTCTACCTTGAGCTTCGTCGGAGTGGCGGTGTACGCGGATCTGAGCGACGTAACAAGCGCCCGCGCGTCGTCCATAGCTAGGGTTCTTGGTAGCCCTAAAGCAAAGATTTGGGTTTTTGACGAGAAAGAAAGGATGGCCGGGCAGCAAATTCTCAAGCGCATTCCAAAGATCAAGTTCCCGGATCGTCGCGCGGCATCCGGTAGAGATTTCTCGCAGCATTTTTTGATTCGATCATGGATTTACAGGCGGGAAAGCGCCATCGATTCCGACTCCTAGGGGCGCTTCTAGCGGCGCTGGGAGTGCCTCGATTCAACCAAAGCGGGTGCCATTGTCCAAGGAAGAGATGGAAGTGATCACAGTGAGTGGATCTTCTTTTCTCCCATTAATTTTCGTTTGTTTGGAATCGCATAGATGGGAGGTCGCTAGGAGAAATTTGTTGGACGCTTGGTTTGATACTAAATTGCTTCGTTCTCGAGCTTGGGAATTACAAGCATTTTGTTTCTGTGAGCACTGAGTATGAGTTTTGTGAGACTGTTTAACAGGCGCGTTTCGGGAGTCCCCTCGATGTACACACGTCCAGGCCCGGCGTGTTTTGCCTTGAGCTTCAAATTCGCCACGCCCTTCTTCTTCACTCCCGCGAGAGCTTGCTGGAAGTTTGGTTGGCCGCGAACACCGAGAGCAGCGATCTGGACCTCGTAGTGATACTTGACAGCAGCTACGTTCACCTGGAAGAAGAACCACACAACGTAAGATTTTCTTCCAGCGACTGCAAACTTACCAGCTGAGTTTTGTGTGCTGGACTTCCAGATGATGCTGCCGCATTCGAGAGCTGCTCGAGAGCGTTGATGTTAGACATCACTGTCGCGTGAAGTGCCTCCGTTTCCTCTGTTCCTTCGAAAATGTCCTGGCTGACGACCAGGCACCACTCTAAGATCCCTGCTACCAGTTCTGCTGCCTCAGCTCCTCCTGGCTTCTGAAAAAAGGTGGAGTTTCCACACCTGGCACAGGAGGCGACCAGAGCCTGCCAAAGTGACGTCGAATTCAAGCTTGAAGATGGGAGCTGCCAGGCTTGGGCCTTCACAGTCTTGAGAGCGAGTGGAACCAACACGGCAGCTCGGTACGTGAGTTCTGGATCAATGGAAGCGTCTGCCAACATATTGGCTGCTTTCTCCACCAAGTCACAAGATAGGCTCTTGAAGATAAGCTGGCCAGGAGGACCTTTTTTCAGCGACAAGTCTGCATCACAGTGCCAGAGGTAGTGAGACGCTACAGGGGTCTCGAAAATGCACCGGAGTATCGTCAGAGCCAGCTTCGCCCGTAGAGTTTTCTCTGGACTGGACATGGTTGCAACCAGGAACTCGTCTCTGCAGAGGCCGATGAAAGTCTTGAAGACGCCAGCCCAGAGCGTACACAAAGACTGACCCCCGACAACAGCTGCCTGGTCATCCGTCACTGCTGGCCAGATCTGCGACGAACGATGTTGTCATCTTCAAAGACGGACGGAAAGATTTACCTGGTTGGACTTGAAAGCTGGACTATGGTACACAAGAACATAGAGCAGCAAAAGACCACAGCTCCTGGAATCGCAGTCCTTTTCCCTGGCAGCACCATTGGGATGGTAGTCCGAGCTCGTGAAACCAAGCAAGCCGCTCATGTATCCAACCATGCTGTCCCATTCCCATGCGGAACTTGGAGAAGAGGCTGGTAAGTTGTTCTCGGAGTTTGACGATTGCGAGAGCATTGACGCCGTTGTGTGGAGCAGGACTTGGAGAGGGGCTGTCGGAGATGCTAGCCTGGAAACGTAGGCGTTCTCGCTTTCTCTCCACAGAAGCAGCAGCAGGAGCACCAACACCGCATCAACTTCCAGCCGTTTTCTATCCGCGGAGAGCTTGACGGACAACGTTGAGGCGAGGTGGTCGAGAATGTTGTTGGAGAAGAAATAGCTGGTGATGGGATTGGAGTTTACGTTGTCCGTGGCTGTTAAGATGGTCAAGCACAGCCTGCAAGGATTCCACTCGGATCAAACTCTCGAGAAGGAAAAAAGTTCACGTACCTTAGCCCGAGGGACTTCACAAGAACTGGAACATTGTCTCTCGCCAGAAGAGTTCCAACGCTGGAGATCAATCGTCGAAAAAACGTGTCTGCGTTATCTGGCGAGCCAGCAAGCAACAATGTAATGGTCACACCCTGCGAAGAAACGTAAATCTCGATGGAAATCTTCCTCACTCAATCGCTCACCTGTTGGCTGAATCGCTTTCGAAAAATCTCTCTGGTGAGAACCGCGAGGCTCTCCAGCGCGTGAGCGACTCGGATAAAATTCTCATCGCTTAGATACCTGTGAAGCAAAAGAAGAAGATTTCTATACTCCTCGATCGACGAACTCAACTCACAACTCACTCACGTCACGCAAGCTGCAAAGATTTCGTTGATAATCGGCTTTAATCCATGCCGGAGCTCCTCCTCCGTCCTGCTCGAGACGCATTGCGCCAGGAATTCCTGGTTCACCTAACAAGAATGCAAATTCTAGACAATGCGGGCGATCTAGGAGCTACCTTGAGCAAGAGGAGCTCGTCCCAGAATCTGGTTAGGGCAGTGCGGCCCTGGATTCCTCGATCCCGCGCGAATTGGATCGGGCTCCTCCCGGAGAAGATCTCCTCGCACAGCGACACATACTTCTCCTTGAACGATTTCTCTGGAGTAATTCGGGGTAGCATCCCTGGCAAAGCGTGGGAAAGAATCCCTCGATCGAGAACAAGGCTAGAGCTAAATGGGAGAAAGCGATTACCTTAATTTTGACCCCCAACAAGAGCCAACAGAATATCCCGCTAACGGCATATCCTTAAGAAAACGGTGTGTATTAGCGGAATATCTCTACCTAGCATAATTTTTTGTTTCACAAGAATGCGCTCGGAGAGGAGGAAGGCGCCAGGGAAAATCGCGAGCTTTCCCGATCGATCCTAGCTATTCCGGGGTGAGTCGATCGAGATCGTCGTCTAGGCAGCGAGCGCCATCGGAAACGATGCTTGCCCTGGGATATTTCGGGCTCTTCCGTTTCCGATTTCTTTCTTTCATTCCTTGCCAGTGATCTTGGTTGCTTGCTACAAATGCCAGCTCTTTCCTTGCTAATCGAGGCGCCACTTCGTCGATCTAACGCTCTCCTCTCGATTCTTGCAGGAGACCGCGCCGATCAATATGTTCCACTGTCTCCAGGACAAGCCTTCATCCAAGAGGCATCTAACAACGCATGAGTCGGACATTAGCTTGGAGAAGGGATTGGACGCGTTTTTCACCGAGGCCGTCAAGAACGACGATGCAAGTAAGCTGGAAGAAGCGCTTAAACGAGAAAGCGGCAAGCTGGCTTCTGGGGAAACCAAACGAGCGTCATACGACGCTCTAGTCACCAAGCTCTTCCATCTGGTTTGCGCGCTCGACTGTTGGGAGTGTTGCGAGCTCCTGCTTACTGGCATCAGATCCTTTCCAGTGGCCCGCATTGATGCCGCCAACAGCAGCGAGGGACGATCCGGGCTTCACCATGCTTGCCGGAACCATTCCACCAGGTGCATCGAGGTTCTTCTTAAGCATGGTGCCAGCGTTTCCCTCAAGAACAAGGCGGCGCTGTTGCCTCTCGAGGAGGCTCTCCTGAGCTCCAAGCTTGAGTCTCAGGAGGATGTGGTCAGCACCCCGGCAGCGAACCTAGTGGACAGTGTGAGGAAGAAGGACTTGTCCGCAATCCAGCTGCTAGTCCCGGTTTGCAAAGACCAGCTAAGTTCGATCGCATGCAAGCTGCTCAAGGATCTCAAGGTGGTGGCCCTGGTTTCGCTTCTACTCACGGCCGGACAGGTCGCCAATGCTGTTCCTAGATCGGAGGTGGAAGTTCCTGGTACCGTTGTGGATCTTCTTCTATCGTACATTCTACCTCCGACACCTTTTTCGCCAGTGGACGTGGACGGAACCGGCTATAAGATCAAAATTGCCAGCAGCGGGAATAGCGGAAAACAGTCGCTCAAATCCGTGAAACCCGAGAAGAAGACCTCGGCCGCGAGTGATAAGTCTTGGATTTTGTCCAAGCAAAACCAGCAGAAGTTCACAGCAGTTCCAAAGCAGGCATCACCAGCGCTACCGGTTAGGAGTTTTTACAGTTTACAGAAGCGACAGGACACTCCACAGGGGAAGGATAGCTTGTCAATCGCTACAAAGCTTTTGGAGTGCGTTCTGCTCTTTTATCCGAGACTCACGGCGCATCCTCAGAGCTCTTTCTCGGCGCCTTTGATCCGAGCTTGCCAGGGAAATGACGTCAAGGTCGTGAAATTGCTGCTAAGCTCCGGGGCTCCGGTAAACGAGCAAGATGGTGACGGAAATACGCCTCTTCACTGGATACTCCGACAAGCAACACCTTCAAATGACCGGCGCGTCAACCTCGACATCGTCCAGAATCTGCTAGATGCGGGTGCCAATACTATGCTCGGAAACCGTCTCGGTGCGACACCGATTCATACAGCTGCCGGCCACGGACACTGCGACGCGCTCTGCCTGATGCTGAAGAAGGACATATCAGGTGTCAACGTTATAGCTGCGACGAAGGAGACACCACTCCACTATGCTGCGGTTAACAACCATATACACTGCGCAGCGGTCCTTCTCAAGTATGGAGCAAACAGGAACGTTTGCAACCTCCGGAACATGAAGCCATGCAACCTTGCTCCGACTCGCGAGATGTACGCGCTGCTAAACGTTGACGAGAAGACGCTGAAAATGCATCCTTGGGAGAGCCTGGTTGCACTGTTCGGGCGCTCCGACGGCAGTCCGGGATGTCCAGCTCATCCTCGCACTAGTAAAAACGCAGCAGCAGGGAGTAGCAATCCGACGACAAAGAAGGGCTTCGTGGATGCCAGGAAAGTCTTTGTCGGGGGCCTGCCACTTTATGTGACTTCCGAGGATCTCCGAGACGAGATGGAGTACGAGTATGGAGAGGTTCACGAGGCGGTTGTTATATGCTACGTCGAGACCTCGGGGAAGGTCAAGTCGCGAGGCTTTGGATTCGTTCTCTTCAAGCAGCCAGAGACGGCAGTCAAGGCGGTGAAAAGCCGGTATACTTCTATCAGGGGCAAAAAGGTGGAGATCAAGGGATGTTTTCCTGCTCAGGATGGAGACGACTGCGGGTTGCCGTCGAAAGTAGCTTTCACTGAGAAAGTAGCTTCCGAAGCGCCAGCTCCGGACCAGGCAGGGACAGAGGAACCTGTTTCTTTGGCTCCAGTTACGCAAGCTCAAGGCCCAGCGTTGCGTGAAGAAGAAGCAGTGGACAGAGCTCCAGTACCAGCCGCTACTGCCACACACTGGGCCAGCACTCACACACCTGTGAATGCTACGGCATTTGCGTACAAGACAGCAGGCGTGGAGGACTCGACTTTTGATGACTCTCTGGACCTGGAACGCCTCCTGACTTCCATTTTCTCGACGGAGGACGCTCCCGTTCCGAAGAAGGTGCTGGAGCCCGAGGAGAAAGAGTTTGCGGAGATACTGTCGCTGCTAGAGGTTGGCAAAGGAAACAAAGGTAGCAGCAGCAGCAGCACGTACTACGGAGGTAACCGTCTCGACGGCTACGTCCGGCCAGCCTATTCCGTTTCCGGGCTCGGGATTTAGCTAGCAGCACGGTAAGTTATCTTCACTTGAATGTCGTTTTCGTTTTGGTCTAATCATGTGTTGTTACAGAAGGCACGAATCGACTCGAATCGCCATCGTTTCGTTTGCTTCTTTCATTTGTTTTTATTTTTGTTCTCTGGTTTTGACGTTTCTATGTACAACGCTGTTTTGGTTTGATAACTAGGTGGATCACAACAAACCCGTCATGGAGTTGTTTACGCTGGGGGCCCTGGACTGGCGTGCCGACGAACCACGCTTGGTCGGCACCAGCTGAGTGTCGCCTTCTTGCCAATCCCGGTGTCCCTGCTCTAAATCCTCCTCGGTTTTCAACACGGGATGGGTGTACGAGTTTCTAAACAGGGACCGGAAGTCGGTGTGGGGATCTTTGGCCTGGTCGATTAAATCCTTGGCTCTCGCTTCCTGCATCATCGAGTTAAGTATCTCGGAAGAAAGAACTCTCGGAAGAACATTCGAAGAAACTATGAACTTACCTCGAGAGGGAACTTGACAAAGGCGGACTCGAAGCACCGCTTGGTATACGTATGAAATATGAAGGTTAAGACTGGCAAACCGGCGAGGAATGGAGTGGAACTGGCCGCTCGCTTCGTGGAAAGAAGACCCAGTAGCGTGAGCTGCATGATAATCATGGAAGCGACGACCCGGTTGTGGATATGGGGCCAGAAGCCGCCAGCGCTCTCGTACTCCGGGTGGTACACGTTGATCACCTGGAACGCAACGAGGATTACAGGAGAAGTGGAGGAAAACAAGAGAATCCAACCTGGTTACGATAGACGAGATATGAGAAGCCAAAGAAGGTGACGATGAATGGGAGGATGATCGGTGCGATGACTGCGTAGACGAGGCCGAGCAAGAAGTAGAGGCCGACGTGAGGAAGCGCAGTGTTGAGGCTGAGGCCGCCGGGGGCCATGGCCTTTTCCCTGTCTTTCTCCGTCTTGACGAACATCATGTTGCGAAAGTGGAAAAAGAGGAGCGGCTTGAGCCTCAGGATCTCTCCGGCCACGCTCGCCCAGCCGTCCACCATGATGTAGGAGATGAAGAAGGTGGCCTTGAGTGGTATGGCATCGCCTAGAAGCTGTGGAATGCTGGAACACGCTTACGTTGAGAGCGTGCTAGAGATAAGAAGTTTTTGCTTACTCGGAGGGTGATTTGTGCAAGAAAAGCTTGAGCTGCTGCAATGCCGAGCCAGTGAAGACACTGGCAAAGAAAACGTTGAAGACCATGAAGTAGAAGTGCTTGGCTGCTGCCATCCTGTCCAGCTTCGACAGAGATAAATGTCCCTCTACCTTTGACAAGATCATCAAGACGCTGGGGAGAATGAGAAGGAAAATTTTCAACGCTAGACCGGGGAGAAATCCTTGTAGTATCGATTTTATAAACTTCCTGCAAAGAAAAACCGTCAACTTTGTTTCACAAGTTATGAAAACTTACCTCTCGATTACTGGTCTTAAGAACTTGACAGTCCGCTCAATGTCTTCTATGTTTGCCAGTGACTGCACGAACGTCACGGGAATCATAAAGAAGAGAATGAGGACGACAACTGCTGCCGTTATGGCGATCTTTCGAAAGTAGAGCTCCATGTATGGAATAGCGAGATTCCTCCAATACACATCCCGAGGCTCAGGCGCCCATTCCGCGAGCCACTTCGTAGGGTCTTTCGTTTGTTGAGTCTGAGCACAGACAGCAGCTCCCCAACGCGAGTCGAATGTAACGAATGCAACTGGAAGTTTTGCCTTTTCATCGCTGAAAATTCTTTCCTTTTCTGTTGCTGCCTGCTCAAGTCACGATCATTGGCCGAGTTCTAAATTATATTATGCCTTACCTCGCCGACAAGTCTCTCTATTTCTGATGTGTAAAACTTCATGGCATCAAGCTTCTCTCCTCTGATCCCGAGAAATCCTTTCTGCAAGCGACGTACTAGATTAGCATGTTTGATTTACTTGGTTGGGAGATGAAAACCTTGATTTGAGGCCTGGAAGAAGGATTTCTTGATTCCATGATACGACAATAATTTAGCTTGTTTTCAATGTCCTCAATCTTCTTAACAATCTTTGCAAGCTTATTGGCATTATATACAATCTGCATTTCAAACTTCGTAAGAAAAATAGAACAGCATGATTAGAAAATTTCACCTGCCTGATACATAAGGTAGTGTTCATAATGGTTGACACGAAAGAAGTGGTCGACATGAAGACCCACAGTTTCATCGGGATCGTCAGGAATTTGCCGAACAAGAACCTGAAATGAAATAGGAAGACTCGTGATCACACAAAAACAAACAAAAACCAACAACAGACCGTGAACTGTTCCGGTCGACTCAGCTGAGACTTTAAAAATCTCAATCTCATGAAAGCCACAGTTTTGTACTCGTTGTGGAGCACGTAACACGTCCACAGTGTAAACACATATGTCAATAGCATATGTGCCCAGAGTCTAATGGAAGTAGAAGTTTATAAGATCAAACAATACAAGAAAATAAAAAAGAAAGAACCTGTCGGATCTATCTTGCACATTTGCCACCGACAATTTATCAATGTCGGCAGAGAAAAGCTTCCCAGAGGACTTGCGCAAGTTCGTATCAGTGGCATTCACGGGCACCAAAATGAGGAAACACAAAACCAGCAATGGCACAAAAACCTTTAAGCTGCAAATTAAGGGGCATAAGCGAGCGATCCAAAACTAAGAGAAAGGAAGAGCATACCCCAGAAGATAAATTCGCAAGAGAATCGCCGAATCCAGCCCTGCGTGATCGATCAGCTCTAGCTCTGGCATCCGAATGGACTCCCACATCCAATCTAGGAAATGCAAATACGCCCTGGGGTCGAGGTTCACAAACCTGGCCTTAATCGGTCGATCCTCGCTCTTCCGGACGCCCTTGATGAACCATTTGGGATAATAAACCCTGTCGCTGAATGGCTGGAGCCGCAAGAACGCGAAGACGAGGAGGAAGACGATCGTGGATCCGCCATTAATCGCAGCCGACAGCATGAGATCTTGGAGAGTCGCCATCGCTCACGATCGATCTGCCGCTTCTCGCGATCGAACGTTCCTTGCCGCCAACACACTCTTGGTAGTTGCTATAGGAGCTGAGCTACAAAGCAATCGATTCTTACGCGTGCTAACTACGAGATCGCAGCGCGCCGCCAGCAGGAGAAAGATTCCGCTGGCCGAGCTGAGAATGCCTCTGGGATCGATTGATCATCGCGGAAAAGCTAAAGAACCCTAAAGATCAGGCACAAAAGCTCTTCCCCCCAAGAAGTTGAAACGGGGGACTATGGTATTTCGCCACGTGCCCCTAAACCCTAAATCTCAAGTTAAAAATAATTTCCGTTAACCAGCTAAGACATTCCACGCATATTCCCGTGTTCTAGGGCTCGCAGCAATGAGGGCCGCGGACAGCAGCTCGTGGCGCCACGCCTTGCTCTACATCTCGCCCTACACATTCGCCGCGATCGGCATTGCGATTTCCATCGGCGTTTCGGTGCTCGGCGCATCCTGGTGTGTAAATTCTCTTCAATCTGTAGCGGATAGATCAAGTTGTATCGAAATTCTCCAATCTTTCGAAATTCTTTAGGGGGATTTACGTGACCGGGAGCAGTCTCATCGGCGCCGCGATCAAAGCTCCAAGAATCACATCCAAGAATCTCATCAGGTATTTCTTTTTTCTTTCTGCGCTCCTTGCTTGTTCTTTGGTTGCTCAAAGAGCTAATCACGCATAATGTTTTAGTGTGATTTTTTGCGAGGCTGTTGCAATCTATGGAGTTATAGTTGCCATCATCTTGCAGACTAAGCTGGAGTCTGTCACTCGAGACTACCAGCACACAGCGGAGTCGATGCGCGCTGGCTACTCCATCTTCGCCTCTGGAATAATCGTTGGCTTTGCAAATCTTGTTTGCGGGTAAGCTTTCACAGTGAGTTCTTCGTAGTTTCTAAGGTTGTCCTAGAAAGTTTTTGTTTGAGCTCCACTTTAGCTGCGTTTCACAGCTCAGTTCTTCAATTCCCTGCAAAATTTCTGTTTTTTTTCTGGGTCTTGAGAGTTCGAGCTTTTAGTTATAAGATTTCACAGTGAGCTCTTCGTAAGTTCTCAAAGTTCTCCTTTTTAGTTGCCTTTCGTGTAGCTCTTCCTTGCAAATTCTTCTTTTTCTGGGGCTTGACAAGGAACGAGAGTTTGAGCTTATAGTTTTGGATCGTCCAGTTCTGACGATCTCGAGTTTTCCTTGCAGGATTTGTGTTGGAGTGATTGGCAGCAGCTGCGCTCTCTCCGACGCTCAAAACTCGACGCTGTTTGTAAAAATTTTGGTGATTGAGATCTTTGGAAGCGCGCTGGGTCTCTTCGGCGTCATCGTTGGGATCATCATGTCTGCTCAAGCTACATGGCCCAAAGCCACGTAAATATTTCGTTCGTTCTCCTTCTTTTGAGTGGATCGAAACGGTGTAGTAAGCATATTCTACGTGGCGTGTAAAATATGCTCTCCCATAAAATGGCTATGGCGGATTCTTTCACTTCCATGCAATGGAGAAGGCGAGGCTGTTCTTGCGCGAGGAGTACGCCGCCATCGATCCGGCGCTCCCCCACTGGCTCTCGGTCCTCAGATCCACGGGCGCCTCGGAATGCTTCCACAAGCACGGCACATTCTTCCAGCATCTGGTCGAGGTTTACAGGATTCTCAAGCTCTGGGGCGCGCCCGACGATGTGTGCCGCTGCGGCCTCTTCCACTCGTCCTACTCCAATTCCTACGTCAATCTCGCGATCTTCGAGCCGGGCGTGGATCGCAGCCGCGTCAAGGATCTCATCGGCGATCCGGCCGAGCAGCTAGTCGAGCTCTTCTGCATCGTGCCGCGGCAGGAGCTCATCCACGACATGCTCCTCTTCAGGTAATCCATTCGAAATTCGCGACATCGATCGAGCCTATCGAAATTTTCTCTGCCCCCAATTCTTTCTTTGTTCTTGCCAGGTTTTCTGACGATCAGCTGCAAGAGGCCGCCGCTAGCGATCGATCTTGCAAGAAAAGCAAGTTGCTACTTCCCGATGGATTCATCACCGTGAAGAACATCCGGAATGGCGAGGACGTGAGGCTGCCAAGACGCATCGTGGCCGTGTTCGTGCTGCTCACCATGGCCGATTTTTGCGATCAGCTCTACAATTGGCAAGACAATCTCTTCGACAATCGCGATGGCGAGCTCCGATTCAGCGGGAATCACTATTGGGCGCTCTGGCCTGGCGACGTCCAGCCCGGCCTGTGGATGAGCTCGATCTCGCGCATGGGCCTCCTCCTCAAGGGGCTCCTCAACGAGGAAGAACAGGATAACGGAATATGCGACGCTCCCGCCGCCATAGCTTTGAAGCTCCCGCCCCTCTTCGACGGCTGCTCCAAGCTTCTTCGCCCGGTGGACCAGATCGCGGCCAGGGATTTGTATCTCGAGGCAGTGGGCGCGGATCTCAAGCGCCAGGGGTTCGATTGGATCGCGGGGAAGCTCCGCGGCGCTTGCGAGAGGAACCCGTGGATCGGCGAGCCCCATCTTGTTCTAGCGCAACTGTGCTGCCTGGAGGGCGCGTTTGAGGAGGCGGCGGTGGAGGCGGCGCTGGGATTGGAGCGGCTGCTGCAGTGGGGCACGGCGTGGGACAAGCGCGTCGCGTGGGAGGCCTGGATCGCGTGGGGAAGAGTTTTAGAGATGAATGCCAAGGAGAAGAAATGGCCCAGCACTGCCTGGGGAATGATCAATCTGGGACTCGTGAAATGAAAGAAAAATGCTGCTTGTCCGACAGAGATAAGCGCTCCCCTGTTCTCTAGGGCTTCGGTGGGCCTGTTTTAGGGTTTTCGAGCGGACCAGCGATTGAGGCGGCGCCGCCGCTCGTACTTGGCGGCGTAGTGGCGGCGCGGCGGGGGGCCGATATGGAGAGTTTGTCGAATCTCCGCGCTGGAGGAGAGACGAGCGAGCGCCCAAAGGATTAACAGGGCAAAGGACGTCCTACACACAACCTAAGGGAAATCTTTTTGTGTCCCAGGAGGGAGTGATTAGGGCAATGTGGAGGCGCTGAGCGAGGATAGATGTCGGGAAGGCGCTCGCATAGCATGGAATACGACGACCCCTTGGACAGTAGCGGTAAGCGCTCGCTCTCCCTCTCCCGTCGATCGATCGATTCCTCGGCAGCGATCTATAGCTAAGCGTTTGCGCCCAGGGACTGACGACGATCTGCCGCCCACGCATTCCGCCGGCGGCCGTGCCTCGCGAGGCGTCCGCGTGAGTGGGAATGGGAGAGCTGCCACGGGCGTGATCTACGCGAGCTCGCAGCCTTCGGGGAGTGTGGATCATATGATCCATCGGCTGGAGCAGGAGGCCTACACTGCAGTTTTACGTGCGTTTGGAGCTCAGTCGGAGGTCATCACTTGGGTGAGTTGTTGGAGGTTTTCTTTTTTCCATTTGTGTTCGTTCTTTCATCCTTGTGACTTTGGGATGTTGTCCTAGGCAAAGGAGCGGCTGATGACGGATTTGCGCAAAGAATTGCGCGTCACTGACGAGCAACACCGGGAGTTTTTGGGAAAAGTTGCGAGCGATGAAAGCATCAAACAAATCCAGTAAGAAAGTTTTTTTTTTTTGCTTGACATGTACTCTTGCAAATTAATTCTTTCTTTCATTTCAGACAACTATCCGCGGTGCCACCAGCAATTGCGCCCTCCGCTGAGGTTTCGCCGCCTCCTGTAACAACTCAGTCTCGCAAGAAGCAAAAAACTGCGCTTCTTCCTCAGGCAGCGATGCCTCCGTCGTCGTCGACTCCAACGCCTCCGCTGCCTCCACATATCAAAACCGGTCCTGTTCAATCGACCTCCGGCTCTAAGCGTCCTGGGCCAAGCAATGGTCCCCGCGGAAAGAAGCAAAAGGCAAACTTTCTCAGTTCTCTTGCCTGTCGACTTACCTTCGTTCTTTCTTCTGTAGCTGCAAGGACGAGCTTCTAGCTCTTCAAAAGGACATGGCGGTAAGGCCGGGAGGCCACCCTCGAATAAAGCTTCAGAGAATTCAGCCGAAGTCTCGATAGATCCATACATTGGGAAGAAAGTTAAAACGCGATGGCCGGAAGATAACGCATTCTACGAGGCTCTTATCACCGACTACAATGCGGAGACGGTAACCAGAGTACCATTCTTATCATTTTGTTTCCAACTCAGTCTTTTAGGGACGTCATGCACTTGTCTACGACATGGACACCGCAAATGAGACGTGGGAATGGATAGATCTCAAAGAAGTAAGCGATCGTTTGCTCTTATCATGCGAGTTTGAGATTGTGGTATTTTCTCTCAGGTGCCTCCGAGCGACTTAAAATGGGTCGAGGGTCCAAATGCAGTTATAGGACGCAAAGCCCCGCCACCTGGAGCTGCTAGAGGTGGCATGGGCCGCGGCATGAAGAGAGGGCCAAAGGGTAGCGTAGCATCACCGGGTGGAAAAGCACGGGGCGGTACTCCAAAAATGCGGGGATGGAAAGGGCCATCCTCGGCTGAGAACGGCTCGCGGTCATCACTCGGACTTATACCAATAGAAGACCTGGCGAAGGAGGTTGTGCTACTTTTTTTACACTCGAATGACAGAGAAATTACTATTAATTTCCTTTTCACTGCCTTTAATAGGTGGACAAGCTGGAGGAGGATGACGATTTGGCCAAGCTCGAAGATGCAAAGAAAGCCGCCAAGGTAGTGCTTTTCCCATCCCGGAGTTATTGCTTTTCTTTTTTCTAACAGCGCGGGCTTTCAGGCTCACGAGGAGAATATCAGGAGAGCACTAGCACAAGTCGGCGAGTCGTCTGACGAAGCCGAGAGTGGTATGTTTTATGCTCTCGAAATAAATGCTCCGGGACGAAGAAACAAGACTGTGGTCTGTTAATTGTTCTCATATGTTTCAGACGATGCCGGGCAGCCACCTTCGTCGCAAACTCAATCCGTTGATCACGAAAGGGAGCACAGAAGCAGCGCTCAAAACAGTCGGGAACACACGAACGCTGACAGTGACGAGGAAGAAACTGCTGGAAACGAGAGGAGGGTCGAGGCCGATGGCTCCGACGGCGAGCACACTGCCGGCGAGGGCGGTGCGGCGTCCGACGCTTACGATGATCAGCAAGGGGAGGACGGTGACGAGAAAGACGAAGATGGCTAGAAGCAAACAACACAGCAAAGAGAAAAAAAACCTACCGAGGTTTGTCACTTTTTTCTTCTTTCGATTGGTGTTAAGGCATTTGTCATGGCTGACTTTGAGCTCTGGAAAAATGGAACTTTGCTGCAGGGAAACGATAGCCGGATTGAGGTTCTTTTTGTACACTGGCACAGCACAACTATTCATTAACAGGTAGTTTTACAGTATTAACAGGCGGGCTGGGGAAGAACAGGGAAGAACAGGAGGCTGTATTTGTAACATAAGATGATTTGGAAGATGCAGGCTTTGATCAAGGGAAGAAGTCTCACCCACAACAGTGGTGATGATCGTGTGGAACTCTCCACAAATTTGGGAGCTCTTCACATGGATCATCGTCGATCGATCTCTAAAGCTTATTACACAAGGTAAAGGAGGAGAGATTTTGCTTCTATCTATCCTTATCTTCAATCGAAAAGTTTTAATGTGATGGACTCATTGAATGGGTTTTTTTTTTTTTTCCTCATTTTTTCATTTTTTCTCTTTGTTTTTTGGTTCGGCAGAAAAGCGGAATAATGCATCATAAATTCCAGTTTAATGACACCCGTGATTTCGCGTACACGCAGCGATGCAATCGGCGCCGTCGGGTGCTCCACGCTGGAGGCGCAGTGACGTGTCGCTGACGTGTCACGACACGTATGCGGGGCTGTAGAATCGGCGGACGTGAGGCCGAGTTTCGAATCGGGCTGTTGGCACAGTTTTCCCTCTTCTCTCTTCCTCCATATAGGTCGAGGCCGCGAGCTATGGTCGCCGCCGCGCCCCATTCTCGATCGCCATCGCCATCGCCATCGCGCTCGCTGGTGGAGCTTCTTAATCCACTCTCCTGCTTACATGCGCTCTCGGCCTCGTCTCCTCTCGGTTGTGCGCGCTCAATCGTTTGCCTGGATTGATCGCCAGCTCGCGCTCTAGCTGCATTTGCTCTTTTCGATGCGCCTGGCGATATTTCGGTAGTCGCAGTGGGACAAAACCCCCTTTCGCAAGGTGAGCTCCTCTTTCTCGGCTTGATCTTCGTACAGTGAGATCACGGGAGGCATGCATTCCCGTGATCTTGTGTCCTCTCTTGTTCCTTGTACTAGGGTTGACTTTACTGTGTGATCTTCTCGCTTAGGTGATGCTCCTGTGAGAGACAAGAATGGGCAAATCTAGCCGGTGGTTTTTGAGCTTCATTGGAGTCAAGTCGAGCAAGTCCTCGTCTTCGTCCTCCAAGGAGAAGATCTCTTCGTTTGAAGAACGCAAGAGCGAGGAGTCCAGTGTAAGTGATTCCAATCCCATCGATTCCACCGAAGTTTGAATTTTTTTTCTTTCTTTCTTTCCTCTTTATGCTGTTGAAGTTATGGCTGCCAGATTTTGTGGTCTTCACATCTCACGATCAGAAACGTCTTGCTCGAGAGTTTTAATACTCGCTTCTTCGCCGTGTTTACAAGTTTGGAGTTTTATCGCCTTGTGCTTTGTTTCCTTGTTGCTGCTGTCGTTTTCCCGGATTTTTGTGAGGGTATTGATTCCTTGTGGTTGATTTGCTTTGCAGAAGAAGAAGCCGCGAGAGAGGCGCAGGTGGAGCTTTGGAAGATCGTCTGCCAAAGACTCGGCTGTAGCAGATGCCGTTCGCAAGAGCGACGATCAGCGTCGCCATAGTCACCACCATCCTCTGCATGACTTTGATATTAGCGACAGCCTCTCTTTCGAAAAGGACCAGAGCAAGCATGCAATTGCGGTTGCGGCTGCCTCCGCTGCGGCTGCCGAGGCTGCCGTGGCTGCTGCTCAAGCAGCGGCCGCAGTGGTTCGTCTCACCAGCACTGGAGGCTCGTTTCGCGGATGCGTGAGTTTGGAAGAGTGGGCCGCAGTGATCATCCAGACTGGCTTCCGAGGATATCTGGTAAGTAGTTGTACCACTTCATCGGTCGATTTGTAAAGCTTGCCGTTTTTCTCTACAGGCTAGAAGAGCGCTGCGAGCTCTCAAGGCTGTGGTCAGGTTGCAAGCTTTGTTCCGCGGTCATCTTGTTCGTAAACAAGCTGCCCTTACACTCCACTGCATGCAGGCGCTTGTTAAAGTTCAAGCTCGTGCTCGTGCACGTCGTGCATCCGACGAAGGCCTGCCGCCCCAACAGCAGCTTCGTCACCGGCGACAGCAGCATCAGCAAGATGTCCGTCCTAGAAAATCCGTGGTAAATGTGCTCCGGGTTTTCATTGTGTCCCAAAGTTTACTTGGTTCTTTTAGGACGGATGGGATACCTCGGCTAGAAACGTGGATGACTTGCAGTGCAAGTTCGATCAAAAGCAGATCGGACTTCTCAAGCGCGAAAGAGCCTTGGCTTATGCTTATGGCCACCAGGTAACTTAAGTAAGCTTTTCCATTTGTCTCTCGTGACACTGCAAATTCTTCTGTAGAGTGGAGCCAACAATCTTGGCTGTGAGTCGGAAACTAGCCCCTGGGAATGGAGCTGGTTGGAACGATGGATGGCTGCTCATCCATGGGAAACTCAGGGAGGAGGTCCTCCCGCGGAGGAGAGCACCAGAAGTGCTCCTGATGCTGCGCAGCAAGACAGAAGCTCCGAGAGCAGTGCTAAAGTGGTGGAGATAGACTCGGCCAGATTTTCAAAGCGCAGGCCGAGAAGAAAGTCTGGGTTGTCATCCGAATCGATAACATTTGATACCAACACTTGGTCGACATCGCCACCACCGAACCGCCCCGCCGAAAAACAGCAGCTCTATGCCGCGAGCTTCGACAGGTTTAGCAACGACGTGCAAGAGAAGATCTACTCGGCTTTTGTTGGCGACTACGATGATGAGGACAGCTTCCTCTCAACTGCCAAGAGCAGCCCCGCATTCTCTACGACTGGCTCCAAGACCACCAAAAGCAACGCTTTTCTCTCCAACAGGAGCGAGCAACACCAGGCCGACGAGCTCTACAGCTACAACTACGATGGCTTTCCCAGCTACATGGCTTCTACGAAATCGACCAAGGCAAAGTCCCGCTCTCAGAGCGCTCCAAAGCAAAGACCGTCGAGTTCGTCCGAGAGGCAGCAGCACCATTCGAGGAAGCGGAACTCCCTGTCGGGACTGGATATGCGGCCGGGCAATGGAAACTTTGGAGGCTCCTCTCGACACCACCAGCAAAGGCAACAGCAAATCTCTCCGGCGAGAAGGAACAGCAACAGCAATCGTGGAGCTTTCACTGGGCCTCTCTCTTTGGATCGATCGTGGATGAGCTTGCGAGACGCGGGAGGAGATTTTCGAAGGCCTTTCAGGCCGTGAAGAAGATTGCATGAGAAAAAGTTAAGCTTTAAACTCTACAAAAGCGTTGTAGACTTTCCAGTCTGAGATGTGTAAAAGGAGAATCTCAGTACGTGAATCCTGTAGAATCGAGCACAAAAACCAAGAACGCAGTGCTTACAAAGGCGTTTAACGTCTTCCTTCATGAAGTGTTCGTTTTGATAACTCCTCAAGGAGCAATAAGAATAGCATACCAACACCGAAAGCTGCTGCTGTGATCACTGGACCAGTCTCATTACGAAGTGAGCAAGTTTTCAAGACACAGCAGGCTTACTGGCAGGATCTGCAGACACCAAGTGGTGCATTGCAGAAACCACTCTCAGATTTTTTGATAGACTTGGTAGTGCTAAATTTTTCACTAAGATTGATCTTTGTGGTGCTTCAGAATTTAAAATTCTTTAGGGACGATGATGATCAAAGCCTAGAACAATGGTGGGCAATTGAAGTGCAAGTGTTTTTGTT